TCGATCAAGGTCATTATCATCAAATATTTTTAGCATTATAGACGGTGAAATTGTTATCTGACCGCATAAGTTCATATGTTTAGAGAAATGTATATAACTCATAATAGCAACAATTGGAGAAATGTGGCCATTGGGGGAATATGCTTGAGAGTTCATTTTGGATCTAAATCCCTTGATTCCTATTGCCAAAGATTTGAACAAAATTCGAGGAAGGTTCAAACCATATTTGAATCTTTTTTTTGTCAATGTTATACAATTATTCTCTAAATATAAATTGATGCCTTTGAATGTAATACATATATCTCATTAGGGTTCATCAATAGCTTAGTTTGTATTTTGGTGTCGCGCATTTATCTCCTTAGGGTACTTAGTGCAATGAATTTATTCCCTTGGAGCACATTGGTTGTGCAAATATTATTGAAAAGTAACCACTAACTTGGTGTAAACGCAGGTTGTTGATACTATTGTTTGATTAACCAAGTTGAAGTAGAGAGATTGCCATTATCAGTTTTATTCCAAATGTTTTTTTAGTGTTATGCCAAGATTATGGTATTAATGTTTATGATTTTTACAAATTTATTAGCGGAGCCATAGACTTTGTCTTTGTAATCATATTATGACACACGTTCAAGCATAACATATTGTTGAATCCTTTTTGGACGTTGGCTCCTGTATCTCCCGAGAGACCTTAGTAGAAAGGGCGAAAGAAGAGGATGGAGGTGTTTCCCAAGCCTGAACTCTCCATTTCTTTGATGATTTTTACCGGTGGATCGAAGGAGGAGATAATCTAGTCTCCCCCTAGAATCGAGAGAGAGAGAGAGAGAGAGAGGCCCAAATATCCCATTGGTTGCCCCTTTCTCTAAGTACAACCACTCAAATCCCCTCTCTAAGTACATAAGGCGAAATATATATAAAAATTGTGAACCGTATGTTACGAAATCTATCTATGGCGTCTTGTTAAAAATTTGGTGATGTGTATGTGGGGTAGTTCATGAATGACGATGGAGCATATGCCAATCCCTTTTAATATTGATTCTTGGGATTTTTGTCGGTCCATATTTGTTGCAAACTGATTGACCCTATGAATCTTCAAAATTTATTTGGATATCTTGATGAGGATTTCACCTTGCAAATCTTCGAAAATGCTAACTAGATGTCGATGTAAGATATAATATTGAGTTGAATATGTAGGCTTACAACATTATATTCTAATTCTGTTTAATATCCCCTCTTACTTGGCTTTACTTGTTTGGCCTAGAGATTGAACTTGTCTTTTGCCTTTTGTTTTTTTGTTTGATGGATTTTAATGAAGGAAATGACTTTCAGTCCTAACTTTGTGATGTAACTGACTTGTTGAAGGAATTGACCCAAATTGTCTCTACGGACTTGTCAAGTGAATGAGCATACCTTCAGTCCTAGCCTTGTGCTTTAGTGGATTTGTTGAATGAATTAACCTAGATTATCTTAACATATTTGTCGGGTGAGTGAGCATACCTTCAATTATAGCCTTGTGCTTTAGTGGACTTGTTGAAGGAATTAACCTAAGTTATCTCAGCGGATTTGTCAGGTGAGTGAGCATACATTCGGTCTTAATTTTGTGTTTTGATGGAATTGCTGAAGGAATTGACTTGAATTATCTCAAGTGATCTGCCAGGTGAATAAACATACCTTCGGTACTAGCTTTGTGCTTTGGCCGATTTGTTAGAAAGATGCATGCCAGTGGCTTAGTCTTCTGGCTCATGTTGAGTCAGTGACAAGAAATCACCGATCTTATGTTTTGTGCTTTATTGGACTTGCTGATGATTGAATTCCCTTAGTACATCATCGAGCTTTGAATGAACTTATAGGATAACTTCTTCGGTCTTTTGTTTTCTTTTTGTCAGACTTTTTGAAGAAGAGAGTACTTTTAGCTGTGCTTTGTGCTTGATCATATATTTTTTTTTAAATTTGGGCTTTCTATATTTGAACAGACCATCAACTTTGCTTGATGCTTTTTTGAGCAATGATTATTCGTTTGATTTTCCCCGACCTTTTGACTATTCAAGAAAATCTCTTTGATCTAGTTTGCTTGAACTTATCAAGATGAATATGTTTTGATGGCTTATTGATTGAAGGGAGCTGTGAGCTATTCAGCCATATTTGGGCTTGTTGAGTCTGACCTTTAGGACTTGCCTGAGTCTTAGACTTAGACTACAGGGAATTTATGTTTTTTCAATTTAATAGGCTTAAGCTTATAGACTTAGGAGTCTCCTTTCTTATATCATAAGGTCTTGGAACTTGTATAGTTGAGAATGCTTTAGCTTAACTGCATAACTATTTTTTTTAAGCATAGATTATCTCGTAGATTTAAATTTGATCCATCAATTCATTAAGAAAGTATTGTGGATATGAATCACTTGAGCTCGTCAAATTAGATGAGTTTGAGAACTAGACAGCTGCTGTCATCAGACTAACAAGATTGTGATTCCTTTACTGCAACCGTTTTTTATTGCTTGTTGAGTAAAAAGAGCTTACTCTTTCACTACGACGGTTTTTATGGCTTGTTCTGTGAAGCAAGTTGTATGCGACTTAGACATATTTGAGGCTTGTTGAGTCCGATCTTTGTGACCCACTTGCGCCGTATGCTTGAGCTGTGGTAGAGCTTGCATCTTTCCAACTTAAATTGTTAAAACTTGCAAATCTCAAAATCTTTTCAGTTGAACTTTTCAGACATTAGTTAACTAAAGAAAAAAAAGTCATAGCACGCATATTTTGATTGATAGCGAAATTCTTAAGTAAATATTTGGGGATCTTGACATTGAAACACGATGCCAACCCAAAAGGAATGAGATCTTGATGTTAGGCATGCTGCCAACTCTTATTGTTGAGGATCTTAACCATAAATTTGTTATCAATCTCAAAAGTGGAGCTCATTATCGGATTAAACACATTTGGGGATCTCGACATTGAGCATGACGTCAACCCAGATAAACTAAAAAAATGCTCCCTATCTTATGGGGGGATTTTATGATCAATTAGAAACGTGTTCTTGTATTATAAGAGAGTTTTTAGAAAAATCTTCTATGCTTTCTTTTGACTAATGTTTTCTTCGAATGACTTAACTTTTTGTTGGGCTTGCATAATAAATTGTAATGGAGGGTAAGGAGCAACTAAAATTGATTCCTTCTAGCTTGCGTTTGATGACCTCTCTTCCAGTGGGGATTGAAGATGGCTTTCATTTAATTCTCTCAACTTAATATGGAGTAGGAATGACCAAAGTCGTTTCTTGCTAACATAGATTTGGTAACCCCTCCGCCTGTGAGGTTTCAGTGAAGGCCATCTCATTTCATTTTGTCTGACTCATTTAATCAGTTGAGAGAACCTCAAAATTTGGATCACTTAACTTATCAGACTGAATAAGCTTCGGTAAGACAGTTATTGTCATTAGATAAACAAAATAGGGCCTTCTTGACTACGACCTTTTTTATGGTTTGTCAAGTGAAGAGAGGTACAACAACTCAACCATATTTGGGCTTGTTGAGTCCAACTTCATGACCTGCTTGTGTCCTGGACTTGAGCTGTAAATGCTTCTCTAACTCAAACTGTTGAGGATTACGAGCTCAAAATTCTATCGTCTAACTTTCTGAATTATGACAAGTCTGAGAGATCAATTTCTGTTTTTGTGATTATCTTGTTTGTAATTTGCAATATGGGCTAATTTTTTCTCAAACTGACATAGTATACCTTTGGCACCAATATGGTAGAAAATTCAATTGGGGATCAAGTGGCTTGGGAGGCGCGGCAAGTAGGAGCACACAACAGTGAAGGCTAGGGCAGAGGCTTAGTGGCGTTGGTGAGGCACTGTGCAAGAACGACGCAGCAGGGAAGAGGTATAGCAAAACTTGGGAAGGCTTTCTTCGTTCCTCATGGTGCGGAAGAAGAAGAGCAATGGGAGTTTTGGGTCTCTGTACCGCGATCCCATCGTTGTCTTTTCCGGGTGCAGGAGAGATATACGGGAGTTTTGATGGTCGCACTGTACGCCGTGATTATTTTGTCGGTTTCGGTAGTGACAAAAAAGGGAGGTTCTTGTCGCACATGGAAGCAGGTGAAGTGGCTTGAAGGCGAGATGGAAGTTTTGGAGGTCTCGTGTGTGTTGATCTCATCTTTGCTTTATCGCTAGCCCTAATCGCAACAGTATAGTGACAGCAGAGAGGAAGAAGAAACGAGCGGTACTGTGTGCATGCATTACAAGAAGGAAAGGGGAGCTCGGCTTGGGGTAAGGCAGCGTCTCAACAGATACTTGGCTTCGTGAGTTAAGTCGCGCAAAATGAATGGTTGAGTGGAAATATTTATGGGGCGGGAGTAGTTAGGATTTAATTTCATTTTAAATATTTTTTTTCTTTTTTTATTTCATTTTAAGTGTCAAGATCTGGCTGGTGGATTTAATGGATTTGATAAGGTATGGAATGAGCCTGATGACGGTCCCCTAATCATGTGCTTTTTCAAATGTCCATTAGTTGGTAATAGGTACAAGAATTTCATTTATTCCATTACTGGCCCATGGCGATCAATTATCCGTAATACACATCCCACCTAATTCCTTTGTATTTACATGTCTAATATCTAAATTTCTTCTTACGTTTATACCACTCAAATCTTTCAAATCACATAAAAAAATACCATTATTTTAGCTTTTAAAAAGTGTAATACACATTTTCATTCATAATTAAGGTGTCATATATGTAAAACATCAAGTAAGGCGCTATATATGTAAATACATGAGAAATGAGTGCATTGTATGTAAATTTTCCCATCTTCTTTCGTTCTATACACTTACGTTGGTGTCAGAATTGTTCTATTAATGTTATTATAACTGAAAGAAATTGTTACTATCTGTATAGATTAAATCATTTTAACAAATTCAAGTAAATGAACTGTGCAATGAGGTTCTGCATCTCTGTTGTTATTATCTTCTTTTGATGCTTAAGATTAGTCTTATTGTGATCATCTGTCTATTAAAGCAGATGGCCGGCATGGTGGAGACCGAGGATCTGGTGGTTATCGACAAAGTCGAGGTTCTAAACTTCCATTTAGAAAACATTCAAGAGAAATTTTCATTATGTAGCACGCAATTCTTATATATTACATGTCTCACACCTAAATTTCAATATTTACATGCATAACACTTTTGGTGCTTTAAATTTATGCATCAGAAGGTGTTTTTAACTATTAAAAAGTGATAATAGTGCTATTTGTGATGCGATATTAAGGATATGTGGGATGTGTATGTAAATGTGAAAGTTTATGTGGGATGTATATGTGGGATGTGTATGTAAATGTGAAAGTTTAGGTGTGAGATATGTAAATACATAAAAATTGTGTGCTATGTAAATGCTCTCCATCATTCAAACATTTGTCCTCACTTTCTTCCTTTTCTTCCCACCTACTTTTAACCAAAAAATTGAAGTTCTCCATTGTTTTTCTTATTTAAAATGTGATAATTGATGTAGATTATAATCGCAAACGATATCGTGCTGAAGAAAGGACGAACGATTATGATTCGAGGAATTCCGATCATGATTCTAGACTGGTATTTTAGCTCTCTTCATTATGATCAATTAAAAAGTAGAGAGTTTTTGTGGCCGTAAGGAATAATGGTTGTGATGCTTTTTTGCAGGCGAGGAATCCTCGCTTTCGAGAAAGCGGCGACTCAGATGACGAGGAGGATGATGGCCGGAAACGACGCCGGTAAACTTTCTTTGCCTGCAAGCATTTACAGGCTGCCGTAGTGCTGTTGCAGTCGGAAACTGGTAATTCCATTTTTAGATGATAGTTTAGATAAAGTTTAATGGTGAGTGATGATGAGGGGATTGTTGTTCAATATGTAATTTAAGCTGTTTCTTTGTTAGAATTCATGCCTGATAAGCACTCTCTTGATTAAACAGTTAGTGTTCAATTGCAGTATTGTCCTCAGCACATTATCTTTTTATTATTTATATTTATACCCTTCTTTGACTTTATGTTTATATTTATTATTGTTTTTTTTTTTTTTGTTTGGTGTCAAATATTTTCCTGAAAGAATTGTAACGTTGGAGTTGTTTGAGATCATTTTTACTTATTTGTTTTTTTTATTTTGTTTATATTTTGATTTAAAATAAAATATGTTTTGACATGTTCAAATAAGATATTGTTATTTTTAAATACATTCAAAATATTTAAAAAATTTATTTTGAGTATTTTTTTTTTTTTAAATACATTCTTATATAGCGAACGTAAATGAGAAAAATATTGAATAATTTCAAACATATAAGACTGATATTTTGTATAAATTTAAGGATATAAAACAGCTTAGTGCGTACTCTTCATTTTATATAAAATAATTTATTTTTTTGTTTTTATTTTTTTTATTTTTTTTTATGGTATCAGGATTTAAAAAATGTTTTTTTTATTTTTTATTTTTTGTTTTATTTATTTTCATAGTATTTGGATCTACATATAATTTTTATTATTTTAGAAAAAAACTTAAGATATGATTCCAAGAAAATTTTTTTAGGAAGTTCTATTCAAGTCATTGAAGATGTATATATTAAAGTTGTTACTTGCGTACGAACAAAGTAATTTTCTATTTAAGCTGGATTACATTAGGGAACATCAAGTACGAACAAAGTAATTTTCTTTTTAAGCTGGATTACATTAGGGAACATTTTGAAGCCCATAACTTTTTGCTTTAGTTGTGGATGGTGTTAGTGGACATTTACATGAGGATATATATTGGTATATGTTTTTCGATGATGATATCCTTCTTGTGGATTAGAGTAGAGAAAGAGTTCATAAAAATTTTGAATTATGGGGGCCTATATTGGAGCCTAAAGGCCTCCATTTGATTATATCTAAAATTGAATACATTGAATGTAATTTTAGTAGTAGTAAATATGGGGGAGAGTTGTAACCATGGGTGATCATATCATTATAAAGTGTGATCGTTTTTTATATCACAGGTCTATTGTTTGAAGTGACCATGGTTGAGGATTTTCTTAGTAGAATTCAAGTTGGTTGGTTAAAATAGAGGATTTCATCAGGTTTTTTGTGTGATAGAGATGTATCGCTTATATGAAAATTTTACAAGATTATGGTAAGACCTGCAATGCTTTATGGTGCAGAATACTGAGCTTTAGAAGAGAAGCATCAAACTAAGTTAATTATTGCTAAGATGATAATGCTTCGATGAATGAGTTGCTTAATACTTGGAGACAAAATGTGAAATGAATGTTTCCATGAATGGGTTGGCATAGCTCGGTGACAAACAAGATTATAGAATGTCGTTTTAGATGGTTTCGTCACGTTAAACGTTGATTGTCCGCTGATCTGGTTAGGTGAGTAGATGTTTTAGATTCAACTTATGTTATGCAAAGCAGATGTACATACCTAATAAGATATGGACATAATGTATAAAAAGATTCTTAATTTATTAGAATTAAATGAAAATATGACGCCCAATTGGACATAACGGAGAAAAACAATTCATGTAACCAACCCCACTTAATGAGATAAATTCTATTGTTGTTGTTATTATTGTTGTGCAGGATCTAAATCACAAATTTGATACTGAATCCAAAACCAATAGGCTGAATGACTCTATGTTCGAATATAATGTTGGCATTAGTTGACACACGTATGGTCCAATATTGATTTTTATCGATTACCAATTCAATATTTTTAAAGTCTTATTTAATAAATGAATAAAAAAATAAAATTTTATAACTCGTTACTTGAATATATTCATATGAATAATCATATGTACAGAAATCAATTTTACTGGACTATACTGTAATGTGTATTGAATGCTCTGTCATGATTGATTGTGAGCATATATTGTTATCCGTATGCAATATTTCTCAGATTTGATACCCTATATACAAAAATTATTGTTACTTTTATGAATGATAATTTAGATAAATTTTACAATTTTAAGTATTAAATTTATTTATGTATTATTCTAGTGATAATTGTATTAAAATAGTTGCATTAGTAGATGCCCTTCATTTCAAAAATGTTGATCTCAATGATATCAATGCATAATGAAAAGAGTAGAGTATTAAACTAAATATTAATAAATATTTATACATAATGTATAAAAATAAAAGAAATCGTGTGGTGCCCGTTTTTTCTTATGATTTAACGCGAAATATTTAAAAAATAGTTTATGTTGGTGAAAATTTGGGTGCATTTATTGATGTGCACTACGATTTTTAGCTCCAAAGCATCCAGCTACAACCACGTGTACCGTACCTAATCTTCTACAGCCACAAATGCCACGCGGCAGATTCTCGTCCCATCATAAAATCTCCATAAAATCTCCTCGAAATCTCGACACCTCAAGATGGCCAATAAACTTCTGCCTACGTGGCATCATCCTCATCCACTTCTCACCACTTCACCTCCTCCTTCCTTCTATTAAACCCCACCCCTTTCTCCGGCAAGTCATCAAACAGTTGAGCTACGTAAACCTAAGTCTCCAAACCACAGCTTTTGCCTCTCATCTCTGCTCTCTAATGGCCATCTCTGCTATTCAAGGCTCTGCCTTCGCTGGCCAGACCGCCCTCAAGCAGCCCAACGAGCTCTTCCGGAAGGTAGGTTCAGTCGGCAATGGCGGCCGGATCACCATGCGCCGCACTGTTAAGAGTGTACCTAAGAGTATCTGGTATGTTTTTTTTTTTTTTTGAGTTTTTAAAATAAAAATAAAAATAAAAAATTTCATTTAGAGATCGTTATATGTTTACTTAAATAACATTTATTTGGAGTATAAATGAAAGAATAAAGTATTATTTTGTCTATGAACTATTATAAATTTGGATCGGGACTACTTAATCCCATTAATTTAAATCTAATATCTCATATGTGGCCAAAAGAACTTTAAATTGCATCCATTAACTCTCTTGTCAGGTACGGCCCAGATAGGCCCAAGTACTTGGGCCCCTTCTCCGAACAAACGCCCTCCTATCTAACCGGTGAATTCCCCGGCGACTACGGGTGGGACACTGCCGGTCTCTCCGCCGATCCCGAAACCTTCGCTAAAAACCGCGAGCTGGAGGTGATCCATAGCAGATGGGCCATGCTCGGCGCACTGGGCTGCGTTTTCCCCGAGCTCCTCTCCAGAAACGGGGTGAAGTTCGGCGAAGCCGTCTGGTTCAAGGCCGGGGCCCAAATCTTCTCAGAAGGAGGCCTGGACTACCTCGGCAATCCGAACCTCATCCATGCCCAGAGCATCCTGGCTATATGGGCTTCTCAAGTCATTCTCATGGGCTTCGTCGAGGCATATCGTGTTGGAGGAGGCCCGCTTGGGGAGGGGCTGGATAAGATCTATCCTGGTGGGGCCTTCGACCCATTGGGACTTGCGGATGATCCGGAGGCCTTTGCGGAGCTGAAAGTGAAGGAACTGAAGAACGGGCGGCTGGCCATGTTTTCGATGTTCGGGTTTTTCGTGCAGGCTATTGTGACGGGGAAGGGACCTATTGAGAACCTGTATGACCACCTGGCTGACCCAACGACTAATAATGCTTGGGCCTATGCAACCAACTTTGTGCCTGGAAAATGAGTGTTTTTTTTTGGTTGGTGTATGATTTCAGTGTGACTTAATGAAATGGGAGCATTTTCTTCTTTCTATGTTCTTAAGCATATGCTATTATTATTATTATTATTGGAGAAATTTACTTACAAACCAAACTATTTTTATAGATTTACATATCTAAACTATAATTTGGTATATACATAATATAATATTAATGTTCATAATAGGTGATGATAAGGTGTTATATTCATGTTCATAAAAATATATATGACAATAAAAGGACCACAAATACTCAAAGGCTTGGTTGGCATCACTTCTCTTTTATTTTTATTTTTGTTTGTAGCACATGAATGATTGAAGATTAAAGAGGGGGATTAGAGTCTTTATGAAGGTACCAACACAATGGGTGTGAGGTCATTAGTTTTATTTCCAACAGATTCAAGCAATGTAGGATGGGATTTGATGAGTATAATGATGAGATATGTAAGAAGAAATATTTTTTATTACCAAAAATAACCCCTTTTTAATATATTTAGAGCTCTAAATTCTTTCCTAAATCATAAAAGATAAAAAAAAAGGACATGTGTGTCCTTATTATGACAATAAAATATATGAAATATTATTAAAATTAGTTTAAATTACAATTACACATGTTTATGTGTTATGCATTGAAATATCTACATTAATAGAGAAAGAGTGAGTTTATCATCTTAACACCTTACAATATTCTTATATGCACAAATAAATAAGTTGAGAGTAAAATATAGACTTTATTATGTGCAAAACCCAAAAGAGAAAAAAAAAAGATTTTACCCTATTGAAATGAATCAACCGTATGAGTAATATAGTATAAGTACCTAAAATGGTCAATTCTTGTCTGTGTTTTGAAGAATGGTTTTGAAATACAATTTAAGAGAATGAAAAAGTGCAGGTTATTTACATTACGGAAAAAAATGTATATCTTATTTACTAGTTAAATGGTTATACGAGCCTTGGGGCTTTAGAGATGATTTACTCTCCTGATTGGAGATAACATCAATCACAAAGAAGTGAAACATTGACTTTTGTAAAGATGATGGTGATTGGCCTTGGTGGCAATGCGGGCATTAACTCTAGTGGTGACAATGGGTGTGAACATTGATGGAGAAATTGGGCACCTTGCAGGCGACCATGGACAATGGTGAGTGTTGACCTTAGTGGCAATGTAAGCATTAGTTCTAATGGCAAGGATGACTAATAATATCAATCATGATAAAATAAAGAGTTTCCTTCTTCGTAATACTGCAAAGAAGGAAATATTATATTGGCATGAAATATTTCCTTTTAGCTGAATATTTAGATTAGGCATATGTATTAATTAAGTTACCTAGAATAGTTTATAGAGAATATTATGTACCTAAAATAGATTGTACAGACGATTATTTAATGGAATGAAAGCAAAGGAAAAGACATTCAACCTATTTGTTCAAAATTTGATATGGTATCAGAGCTTGAATCGATGTGAATCCTTATTGTTATTCTTGACTTTTGTTATCTTCACCAGAAATAACGAAGGGAATCTTCGCCGGCATCTTCATTTTCTTCCTCGCAAGGAGCGCTCGTTCTTGTCTTTGTTTAAGTTCTATGGCATTTTCTTTCACCTTTGTCCAAGTTCAAGGAAATCCGCTGCCGAACCGCAATCTGCTTTCCCGCGATCGTATTTGCCGCGATCTATCTGCTCATCCGCCAATTTCGAGATCGGCTCGATCTCGTCTCCGTCGATTCCGCAACCCCGACCCATCATCCGCCGATTCCACAATCTCGCGATCCGTCTACTCATTCAATCGGCTCAATCCCGTCTCCGCCGATTCCGAGATCGGCTCGATCTCGAAAAGCAGTATCTTGACTCTCTGTGATTTCTTTGTGGTTGATTTCAATTCACGAAAATTCTATTTAGAATGTCTTCTGAAATTCTAGCTATCAGATTTATGAGAAAGAATTATGCTGCATGGGAATTTCAGCTTAGAATGTTCTTAAAAGGGAAGGAGCTTTGGGGTCATATTGATGAGACTTCTCCAGCTCCTACTGAGATAAAAGATATTGGTCAATGGGAAACAAAGGATGCTCGAATATTTTCTTGAATTTTGGGATCAATTGAGGCTCATATGGGTTGCTAATTTATTGCATAACCAACGACCGTACACTGGTACTCAACATATTGAGGTTGCCAATTGAAATAATATTCCAATCACAACAGTTGGTGATATTAACTCCTCTTTCAGACATATCTTGGTTTCTCCTAAATTATATACTAATTTACTCTCTGTTGGTCAAATTATGGATAATAACTGCGACATACATTTTTCTCGTGATGATTATACTGTGCAGGATCAGGTGTCAGGGAAGGTGATGGCGAAGGGGCCTAAAGTGGGCAGACTATTTCCATTACAATTCACAGTTCCTCAGAATATGTCATTAGCTTCTTCAGATGTTGAGAATAAGATATGCATCTGGCATAAAAGACTGGGTCATCCAAATGATATGGTGTTGAAACATTTAATTAAAAGTGGTGTTTCTCATTCTGCAGATAAAAGTTTACTAGTTGACTATTCTGTTTGTAAACTTGGAAAAAGTAAGACATTATCTTTTCTAAATTCATGCAGTCGTGCCAATAAATATTTTGACATTATTCATAGTGATGTTTGGGGAATTACATCAGTTATTTCACATGCTCAATATAGATATTTTGTGACATTTATTGATGATTGCAGTCGATTTACTTGGATCTACTTTTTGCGCTCTAAAGTAGAAGTTTTTATTGTATTTCAAACATTTTTAGCATATGTTGAAACTCAGTTCTCTGCTAGCATAAAAAACTTACGATCTGATAATGGCGGTGAATACATGTCTAATGAGTTTCAAGCATTTCTCCATAACAACGGTATTATTTCACAATGTTCGTGTCCCTATACACCGCAGCAAAATGGAGTTGTTGAACAAAAAAATAGACATCTATTAGATACTAGGCGCACATTACTGATAGAGTCCTTTTTGCCAGCTAAATATTGGACTGAAGCTTTATCTACAAGAGTTTATCTCATTAATCATTACCATCTCAGTAATTGAAGTATCATTCTCCCTACTATCGATTTTTTGGTAAACATCTTAATTATCATATGCTACATACTTTCGGATGTGTTTGCTTTGTTCATCTACCTGCTCATGAACGTCATAAGTTGACAGCTCAGTCAGTACGATGTGCCTTTATGGGGTATAGTTCTAATCATAAAGGTTTTGTGTGTTATGATTCGATTAATAGTTGTTTCCCGGAACGCACTTTTCTTTGAGCATGAATATTACTTTCAGCATCATGTATCGACACCAGATACAGTTATGCTTCCACAATTTGATAATTACTCCGCGGATAAACGGTTCATGCCGGAGATTGTCTACAAACGACGTCAGCCCCCTTCACCTCCAATCCTCCCCGACCCTGATCCAGAAATTGCTCCTATAAGTCTTCGACGATCAACTCGACGTATCCATCCTCCGGATAGATATGAGTATTATGCAATTCTAACTAATACTATTGTTCCTATCTCTTACTTTCAGGCTGTTAAACAGGCTTGCTGGGTCAAAGCCATGCAAGAGGAACTTCAGGCACTTCAAGCAATCACACTTGGGATATTGTTTCATGTCCTACCGATATTAAACCCATTGATTGTAAATAGGTTTACTCTCTTAAACTTCGATCTGATGGCTCTCTTGACAAATATAAGGTAAGATTGATATCTCTTGACAATCGACAAAAGTACGAGATTAATTATGAAGAAACATTTGCACTTGTGGCTAAGATGACAACTGTACGACTGGTATTATCTATTGCTGCATCTAATAGCTGGTTCTTAAAGCAGATGAATGTTAAGAATGCATTCTTACATGGGGATCTCAAAGAAGATGTCTATATCACTCCTTCTCCAGGCTCGTTTTCTACACCTTCACATGATGTTTGTAAGCTCAAACGATCACTATACAATTTAAAACAAGCTCCACTGGTCTGGTTTGAAAAGTTTCGCAATACCCTTCTTAGCTTCTCTTTTATTCAAAGTCAATATAATTCCTTATTATTTATTTGCAAAACTGACAACGAAATTGTTTTGTTATTAGTCTATGTTGATGATATTATCATCACGGGATTTGACAATCAATTGATGTCTCAGCTATAGAAGCGTCTTGATCTTTTCATATGAAAGATTTGGGATCATTAACTTATTTCTTAGGAGTTGAGGTTCACTCTTCTCTCACTGGTATTTTCGTTCATCAGCACAACTATACAAAGGGACTCATTGCTTTGACTGATCTTTAAGATAAGATCTGCTGACACTCCTTTGGAAGTAAATGTCAAATATCAACAGAATGGTGGTGAGTTCCTATATAAACCATCTCTATATCGACAACTTGTTGGGAGTCTCAATTATTTGACTATTACACATTCTGATATTTCATTTGTTGTACAACAAGTTAATCAATTTATGCAAACCCCTACACATCTTCATTTAGCTACAGTTCGACGTATTGTTCGGTATTTGAAAGGTGCTCATTGTGGTTTGTTCTTTCGACGAAGTCTCCTATTAACTTAACGACCTATATATATATCAATGTACACATTATTAACTAAATATATCATACATAGATTCATTTCATAATATTTTTATTTACATAATTACTAAATAATCTTTTAATTTTAAGGATAGAACATTGAAAAATCATATAAAAATATTATGTTGTGGCCGAAATAAAATTAAAAAAAGAAAACAAAGAAGGGAATAAAAAACTCTATCTTCACCCAAAGTCCATTGTTTTAAGAGTTTATAACCCTATTTTTTAAGGTTAATATCTTTTGCAATTATTTTATTTTACCCAATTATTATAAAAAATTCCATGTTATTTGAAAATCTAATTTTAAAATTTTTATATAATTCTTTTCATATTTTTTAATCCATTGAAATTTTCTGTGAATAAACTGAGTGTTTGCCAGCTACTCGTAACTCGGCTCGATAAGAGCTTATTCTTGTTCTTTTTATTAACAAATTGAACAAGTTTGAACACTTTTATAAATGCTTGATTGTTAAATGTACAAGTTTGAACACCTCCTTGTTCGATTCATTTATATTTGCAAATGATATCATTTAAAGCTCACAAACAAGCTTATTAGGAAGCTTAATAAATATTTCCATTTAGAGTTCATAAATAAGACCAATTTAATGCTTATGAAAAAAATCAGTTAAAGCTTAATTTAAGCTTAACAGGCTCAATTAAAGTTAATTTAAATTCGTTCATATTAAATTAAATTAAATTTTATTATGTAGTAAGATAAAGTTGTTCATTTATTTTATGCATTTATATCTTATTTTAGTTATTCTTTTAATATCTAATTCATTTAAAAGCTCTTTCTTTTTTGTAAGTTCAACAAGTAACTCATTTATAAACTTGACAAAGCTTGTTTTATTATAAAATAATTGTTCAACCGTACTAATCATTATTTTGTTCAACAACTCTTACTTAGTTAGAAAATAAATAACACGATAACACTAACTTCAATTTACTCAGTAAATGTTATTTGTATAGAGATTAAATAGCTCAATAATGTACTAATTAATATGTTTGATAACCACTCAATTATCATCAAATGGAACGAACAAGAACTAAACTCAAACAGGAACTAAGCTTGAACATGAACACAAAACTCGATTACAGCTCGATCTTGAATTTTATAGACAAGCTCAAGCTTGAACATAGTCCCAAAAACTTAATTTGAGCTTGAACTCAAATTTTATTTATAAATATCAAATTTGACCGTAGCACTGCTCGACTCGGCTTGATTCGTTCACAACCTTGAGGGGATGTTTAGTAGCATAATTTTAACAGGACTTAGACATGAACTTAAGATAAATCCAGTTAAACACAAAAAAAAAAGAGTAAATATTTAATCCAACGCTCATTTAAATCAAAATTTTTCACTTTCCGCCTTTATTTCTCATGTTTAGTCTCTTTTAAAATGTAAATCTGGATTCACCAAATCCAATTGAGAGGCAGCTTTAGGGGGTTGTCTGACAACAAATAAGACTTAAGTTAGTAGACTTTTGTAAATCTCGTAAATATGGATTTAGTAAATCCTTAAAAATGTCTGACAACAAATTAAGTAGATATTATTAAACACTATGAAGCAGTTTGACAAATTCTTTAAGATTTCAAAATTAGCTATTGTTGGATTTAATAAATCACAGTAGGATTTAATAAATCCCGTAAATTAGACTTCTTAAAATATTTCAAAATAGCCAAACTCTACTAGCTTCTTAAATTCAATTAACATTATATTTCAAATTAAGATAATTAATGATAATTATTTACTAATTTAATTAATTAGTAATAAATATTTTATTAAATTAAAATTTAACTTTTATAAAGAATAATTAATTAGTTATTAATTTTATTAATTTAAAATTATTTAAAATTTTATTGAATGAATAGAAATTTAATATTTATTTTCTACTAATTAATAATTAAATAATAAGTATGAAGTTATTTGATTATAATTAATATGACAATATTTTAATTAATTATTAATTATTATTCAATTAAATTAAAAAAAAATTAAATTAATAAAACTCTTGCCTACATCACTCCTTTCTCCTCGAAACCCTAGCATGCCCTTCTCCCTCTCTCTGTTTTATCCAAAACCACCGCGTTTTTTTTTTTTTTACCGAACTCTCGCAATATAGTTGTAATTGGAGCTAGTTGAGAACTTAACGATGGGATCACTGCTTATAAAGGCATGCAACTCCCATTTTTTCTCCTCCCTTCACTCCTTTCCTACGTGAAACCATTGAGGAAGGTAACTTCACATATTCTTTTGCGCGAAGTGTCGGTCACGATTGTACCAAATCCCTGATTCATGAGATTTAGTAAATCCATAATTTAGTACCGAGGTCCATGAAATCTAGATTTATCAAATCCCCTGCTTTATTTTGCCCACAATGATCGTCTAACAAGATTTAAGTTTAGTCCAACTTAAATCCTGCTCTAAATACGTTGCTAGAAACGCTCTAAGGGGTTGTTTGGTAGTCGCTTTTAAGCGTGATTTACACTAAATCCTGCCAAAAGATAAAAAAATGATTGCCTAAATCTTAGAGGTTTTAAAGTTCCGTTTTACCACTGTTTTGCCTTAAAATCAGGATTTATCAAATCCCGTAAAAAGTCAGATTTACTAGATTTAGAGAAGTTGAAGTCTGTGGGAAGAGAAAGATTTAATAGATTCTATTAAAGCTGTCAAAAAAATTTTCTAGATTTATTAGGATTTACTTATTAACATGCCAGACAATTTAAAATTTAATTCAGGATTTCATAAATCTATAATTACATGATTTACTAGATCATATTCAAACTAAATCTTACTTGCAGCCGAACAGCCTTAAAAAATTTTACTCCATCATCAATTAAGAGATCCACCTTCATCGCACATAAATATGAATTTATTAGATTTGATAAATCTTAAATAAGAAGACTGTAGTCAAGAAAAAAATATTAGGTGAGGGGTTCTAATATATTAGAATTTTAATGGCGGGGCACATGTAAAGTGGCAAAAAAAAAGTATTACAGTGGGGCCACTTAACATGTGACACAAAAAAGTATTATAGTGGGGTCACTTAACACGTGACGCCCCACCATTAAAATCCTAGTAGATTAGGACTCCTAACCTAATATTTAGGGTCTGTTTGACACAACTGTTGATTATTTATAATCTGCTGATAAACAAATTATTCTGATGATTATCTTATCAGAATAATTTGTCTTGTTGTTTGGGGCAGCTTATTTAGATTAGCTTATTGGTGGTTAAATGACATTCCTGCCCCTGTCTGATAAAATTATTTCGGGACAGCTTATTCAGAATAGCTTATTGGTATAACAAAAGTATATATTGCAGAAGCATACAATCATCACAGATCAGTTCTAAAATATGACATATAGTTCTCACACTCTCGTGAGCACCATAATAAATAAAAAAGTGCTTATGAAACAATTCCAACAGTGTAACGATACCCACTGATTCCTTCAAGAACAATATAAAAGAAACGCATTGAAGCACATTTCAACAGTGTGTACAAATCACATTTTTCGAACCAAATAGTTTGCATAAAGGAACATGGACGGGAAGAACAAAGATTCCCACATTGCGAACCAAAATGTCTCCCATTGCTCATCTGCATTTCTTCCCTAAACCCTCCAAAAAAAAAATGCAGAAAAAACTCACGAAAAAATCTTAGAATTGTAGGTCTTTGAAAAAACTCACGAAAGAACTTAAGAAAACCAAAATTTCTCCCATTTCCATCAATGCTTTTTCAACCCTAATCCAACAATGGCATCATAAAGATAACCATAAAGAAAACCATTTCTTGCAAAAAAAGTGAAGATAAACGAATAAAGACCAGATCGAACAACGAAAAACATACCACAGAAGATCGAACAACCAGAAAGTATTGCGGCATATAGATCTCACCAGAAGAGTCGATGTTTACGAATGATAAGATCGGAAAAAGAGATGGCGAGGGAGAGCGCGAGAGAGATATCGCAGGGGCACCTTTGAAATAAAACCCTAACAAACGCCGAACACAAAAAGTACCCCGCGTCTTATGAGTAGAAGGAAAAAATATATACAATTATCATCAATTTCAAAACGCCCAACAAAACGCTTTTAACAAATAGCTAGATGACGTTTTCAAAACTTGGCCGCATCTATATAATCTGCCCCCAAAGGGCACTAATTCCCGTAGTCAAACACCCATGAGTGACCAATTTAAGCTGAAAAAGTATCATTCATATGTCCTAATTGCCCACGAGGAAGGCCGCGAGGAGGACCTTGTTCCTCCAAGCTCCACCACACGCTCTCAAATCGCGCCGCCGTGCCCTTTTTCTAACCCTTCCCCTTTCCACCACGGCGGCCTCGTTCTCCGCCGTCACCGCCGGTGAATGAGATGAAACCCCTCATCTCCTTCAATGGTAAGTAGTCCTATCCCCTTCTCTCTTGTCCGTCCCATTCTCAACTTCCGACTGCAATTCCAAGCTCCCTCTTTTCTCCTTTCTCGCTTTCTCTCCTCTCTCATAGAAACTGATCCATCACTATCCATCCACCAAATCCTCGCCGAGCCTCAATGGCGTCATAGCCCCGATCTCCACCACCTCGTCCTCTCTCTTCAACCTGATCAAACACTCCAAATCCTCCGCTCACACCCTAATCCTGTCCGCGCCTTGGATTTCTTCTGTTTTCTCCCTCAGAGACATTTTCACAAACACCTTATTGACTCTTACACTACCATCCTCCACCGCCTCGTTGCCGCCAGCCTCTTTGTCATCGCGCATAGGCTTAGAATCCAGATGATTAAGTCCTGCGAGACGGAACAGGAAATTGTTAGAACAATCCACGTGTTGAAGGATTTGGATGCCAAGGGTTTCGCCCTCGATGTTTTCTGCTACAATACAATTTTGATTCGGTTGGGTAAGCTGGATTTAATCAGCGTGGCCGTCGATGTTTTCCGACAGATGCTGGGAAGCGGTGTGGAGCCTACAATTCTAACTTTCAATGCGGTGATCAATCTTTTGTGCAGGAATGGTGAATTAAAAAAGGCGAAGGTGATATTGAACAGGATTTTGCAGTATCATCTCTTGCCTGATACATTCACTTACACATCGATCATGTTAGGACACTGCAGGAATGGAGACCTTTATTCTGCATTTAGGGTTTTTTATTACATGCAGAGGAAGGGTTGCGAGCCCAATTCTGTGACTTACTCGACTCTGATCAATGGGTTGTGTGATGAAGGGAAAGTGAATGAGGCTTTGAATCTGATGAAGGAGATGGTGGAGAGAGGAATCATGCCTACTGTGTACACCTATACTCTACCCATCACAGTACTCTGCAACAACGGGCTTCTGGAAGAGGCCTGCAATTTGATTAAGGATATGAAGAAGAGGGGATGCAGACCAAATGTTCAAACTTATACCGCTCTTATAAGTGGCCTTTGCAGATCAAACATGGCACAAGTGGCAGTTGGATTGTTTAACAAAATGTTTTTGGATGGTTTAGAACCAAATACAGCAACTTTTAATGCTTTGATTAATGGTCTATGTGAAATGGGGAAGGTTCAGTCTTCTTCTAGGGTTTTCAGTATGATGGAGAAGCTGGGTTGCTTTCCCAACACCCAAACATGCAATGAGATGATCAAAGGGTACTGTTTGATGGAAAGAGTTGAGAAAGCAATGGTTGTTTTACATAAAATGCTTAAATTTGATCCTTCACCAAACCAAATAACTTACAATACCATCATTAATGGGTATTGCAAAACAGCTAATTTGAGTAACGCCATAAGATTGGTGAATTTTATGAAGGAGAATGGGTGCAGCCCTGATGAGTGGACTTATGCCGAACTCATTTATGGATTTTGTGAAGCCGGAAAGCTGGATTTGGCTTCTAAGACATTCGAGGAGATGCAACAAGTAGGTCTGAGACCAAATGAAGTTACTTACACCACACTTATTGATGCGTATTGTAAGAACAAGAGGCTGGATTTTGCATTATTGTTGTTAGAGGGCATGGAGGAGAATGGTTGCAATCCAAATGTGCAGACCTATAATGCTGTGATTAGTGGGTTTTCGAAGGAAAACCGACTCCTAGAAGCTGAGAAGCTCTTCAATCAAATGCTCGAGCAAAATCTATCACCGAATGTTGTTACATACACAGCCTTAGTCGATGGATTGTGCAGAAATGGTGCCACTTCTCGTGGAATCAAAATCGTGGATGAAATGAAGAAGCAAGGTTGTGATCCCAATCTCCACACGTACAATGTTCTCATTTCCGGCTTGCTACGAGAAGGAGATCTTAAGGAAGCTGAGCAAATGTTTGTGGGATTGGAAGAAATTGGGTTAGAAGCTGACCGTATTACATTCACTTCATTGATGGATGGTTATGTTATGTTAGGTAGGCTGGATCTTGCTTTTAAACTTATGAAGAAAATGTTTGATTCTGGATGTATAGCAAATTATGGAACCTTTGCTGTTCTAAGAAAAGGATTGCAAAATGAACGGCTACAAATGGAACAAAAGATTCAAGTTTTACCAAATGCAAGCACAACTTACAGTTTGGGGGAAAAAGAAGTGGAGATTGACACTATTTCAAGCTTATTAAAAAAGTTGGTTGAATTTGGTTGTGACCTTAATGCCGACATTTATGATACTATGATAAGTGGTTTATGTAGAGAAGGGAGGTGGTATGAGGCAGATGCACTAAGTAGAAGTATGATCAACCAGGGCTTTCTACCAAAAGAGGAGACACTAAATTCCTTGTTGCTGGTGTTTTCTAATCAACTGATGGTAGATAATGCTCTAGAAATCTTGCATACAATGGTTGAAAGAGGATTTGGAACTCGACTGGTTTGCTACAAGTCATTAATCTCTGCTCTCTGTAAAGTGGAGCGGATTGAAGATGCTCGAGAGCTGTTCGAAAATATGCTTCTTCAGGAGTGGAATCCGGACGAGATTGTGTGGACAGTTCTCATTGATGGCTTGGTGAAGGATGGAAAATTAGATTTTTGTGTAAACCTTCTTCATGTTTTGGAAGCTAGGGGTCTTCCTCCCTCTTCCCACACTTATGCTATTTTGGATGATGAAGTTCTTAAAGACGAGAGTTATGCTGACCGAAGCTGTGTTGCTGATAAGTTAAAGATCTGAAGCGTTTTGTGGCTTTGAGTTCTTTGCAAATGGAGGAAGAGTAGTTGGGCAAACCCCATTGCTTGAATGGTGGAAGGCGTGATTCTAAGGGAAAATGGATATGGATGTTAAAGGCTAGAAGAATAGAGCTCTTGGTCTACAAATCATGCTGCATGCGTAAAATTCATTGTTATAATAGATGGATTGAATTGGTTGGTAGCCGGTTGGCCTGATTGCTCTGGTTCTAGCCTCATTTGGTTCCTTAATTAAGTTGTTGATACCATGGAACTGAAACAATCCAGATTGAGCCACTAGTCTTACTAAAGAAAAAAAAAATGGTGGCCCGGTAGTGAATCCAGTGGTTTTCAGACTGCTGAATTAAATGAGGTAATAATTCAAGCATCAGAATTTCTATGATTGTTATTTAGGTGGCTTCATCTATCATGATTTTAATTATTCTCAACAAAAATACTTTACAGCTCCACATTTTTTAACATGTAGTAATTATTATAATAAGCTTTTTTACTTGACATGTTATAGTAATTTGTAACTACTCTACTATGGACTTGATAAACCCTTGAATTTGCCAAAATTGAGTTTAGGTCTAATAACTATAATAAAAGAGAAATGAAGTAAAATGTGGGAATGGTACGTCTCTTTACTGGGGGCTATTTTACCACGAAGCCTATAAAAGTTTTAGATTAAGCCCCAAACTCTTCTAGCTATGGTTGGAATAATCCTCCCTTTGAAAAAGTTCGGGACTATTTGAGCCCATATTAAAAGAGTTTGAGGACCATTCCTCACTGTTATGGACTCCGAGATTAAAATAACTCACTATAAATAACCGGGCAATCATTTTGGCTATTCTTATTATAATAAAATATTCTGGATTACTATATTTTGAGTGAATAATTATTGTAAGATGTTTTCTAGAGTTAATTTGTGCATATGTTTTACATTCTGTAGTGACCATACATCAAGTTCCAGCTGGAACGTCTGAGGAAGGTTAGTAGACCCAGCGAATGAATCATGCGTCTTAATACTTTCAGGTATCTTTCTTCATTAAATTCGTTACTCATAACGACTCCTTTTATTTATTTTTTATTTTAGGTTTTCAATTAGGATTTGTACTTCTCGATTTCCCTTTTTATTCCATGACATTTGTTTACATGGTAGCTTCTGGATGCATAATTTAAAGTCGCAAGTCTATGCTCTAGATGGATACTGGTTTTGAAAGAATATCTATTTTGAAAAATAGGTTAAAAATTAGTTCTGTTGTAACTTGAAAAAAGTAGAACTATGCCAAACACTTGTGACATCGTAAAGTAATTATGATAATAAAATTTGCATATCTTCTGCTTATGATAAAAAAGAAATGTTTTTATGCTGCTAAATGTGAGATTCTAACAGCCTTTTACTTTGCATTCTATTTCACTATCTTCTGTCTCTAAAGCCACAACTTTGATGTATCTCCAGTTCTGCTAAGGAATATAATTTTCATGCGTTACTCTTAGGCTAAGGTAACGGTGACTTTAGTATAGGAAAAAAAAAACAAAAAAAAAGTAACTTTAGTTGCGAAAACAATTTGCCTAAAGTAGTTAAGAACGACGATTTATGAATCTGGCACAAAAGAGTAGTTGTGTATGATGCCTTCCTGCAGCATGGAAGTGCAGGCAAGTTTAAGGAGCTAAAAGAAAGTAATAATCAATTTTATTTGGGGTAAAGTGCCCATTATGTTTTGAGGTCAATATGATGAGTATTGCTATTGTTTATAGTGGCGTTGGAGGACAAGTTTTATAAATTATTGTAGATGGTTAAACTATTTATGTAGAGCAATTATTTATTTATTCTAGTTATGGATGCTGGATTGACTAGTTTTTAAATTAGTCATGGTGGGATGATGAAGCGTCAATCATAGCTGGATTACATAATCTATAATGTATTAATTTTGAGTTCATATTTTTGTAGTAGATGATGGTTTGATTAGTTTAAAAGTAAGGGGCATCCACATGGATACTACGCAATTCTTATACATTTACATGTATAACACCAAAATGTTCATATTTACATGCATGACACTCAAATCTTTAACATCACATAGAAAATGTCACTCTTACTAACTTTTTAAAAGTGAAATACACATTTTCATGCATAGGTGTATAACACCGAAGTGTTATAAATATAAATAAGAAATTTTAGGTGTTAGATATGTAAATACATAATATTTATGTGGCATGTATATAAATTTCCCCAAACGTAATTGTGGGATGACCATAAAATTTTAATCATAGTTGAATTTTATCATGAATTAATTGAGGTTCATATTTGTTACACTTAATATTGAGATGATTATATAGTATATTTAAACTAAGATACCTTGGTGTTTAATATTTATATATATTGTACTTCTAATTAATGTATAAGCTTGTTTGATAGAAGTGAAAAGCAAGAACAATGAGGAATTGCTGTAGAAGTATGAGGTCCAGAATTTGTAGAACAAGAATAAAGTATGTAATCCATAATTTTAGTGAGTGTAAAATTGTTTTTTATTAAATAATTTTGCTATAAGATCATGAGATACCTATGTGATCATCTAAGTTTCTTAAATTAACCATATAAAAGATTAAGAATATAGGTGTTAACATGATTTCTATAGTTAAAATTGAATGATTAAAATGGATGCAAAAAGAGAAAATTATGGAGAGTTAAATCCAAATTATTTAATTTCATGAAGTTACAAGTTGTCAAGTAGGCATGTTTTTTATCTGCTTTTGAGTGTTAGGTGATAAAAGATGCTACTAATAGCTTGATTGAATGTGATAGAAATGGAAAAGGTAGACTTTATATGCGGTAAAGAAAGATAATACATCACAATTATATTAGCAGCTATTGAATATGAAGTTAAGGAAAATGGGATTTATTTGCGAAACTTTCTAATTTCATTTTGTGGTAGGAAAATCAACCAATAAATAGCAACATACACTTGGATGATAATTTTTCTTTTATTATTTTTAATAATTTTTCTTTTGAAAAAAGTTTAACGGTAAAAATCGTGGTTGAGAAATTAACCTTTAACAACGGAAGTAGAAAGAATAAATTGCTCCATAAGAAATTTACATTCTTCTTCTGTTTGGCTTTGGAATATGGAGCATAAAAGTTACGCCCATAACAGACAAATAAAGTATATGGAATGGGTTGAAAATTCGAAGAAAAAGGGTAAACCAAAGCTACAACCAATAAAGGTTCAGTGATATTTATTGGAAATTTGTGAGACAATATTTTATTGATTTACATATGGTCAATTTCAAAATTCAGTTCAAAACGCCAACATTCCAACGTTATCCCTATGAAGTGTTATTAAACAATGCAATCACAATTTTCTGTAATGCTATTGGCTCAGCATATTAAGGAGTAATGACTATCATGCAAAAATAATAAATGAAGCTGCATCTTCTTAGAAAATATAACTTCAGCAAAATTTCCCAACATGCATAATTATTGAATTTGTAGAATCATGTTTATAGAAAACCTAGATATGTGGTGCTGAGTTTAGGCAGCGACGGATTAAGTGGGGTTGCCTTGAGAGGGCATGCCCCTCCTTTTCCAACCCCAGCCCACAGCTTCCGTGATCAAAATCAAGTATGAGAAGTAATTCATTAAGCAGCGGCGGAGCCAAAACAATTTTAAAGTTGGAGCAAAAATAGCTTTTTTAAGAAATCTCTTAACATTTTTCATTTGAGCTTAGGACTGACATCGGCGATTTAAAAAAAAAATTATTAGAATTTGTTAATATAGAAAGGTAAAATATAGAATTATAAAGAAAAATTATAACTTATAACGTATTGTCTTCATATTTTGAGAGTTTTAAATGATATATCATTATAATGTTATTCAATATTTCTTTCTCAGTATAAGTGATTAAGATATAATTCATTAATTGATCACCTTTTCTGTTTTATAGTTGTTTTTTTAATAATAGTCATAACAAAAAAATTCTTTAACAATTGCTGAGCAATATGTTTAATTAATGTTAACTTCAGTAACATAAAAATAAAAGGCTATAATGTAGTTTTTGGTCTGAATCATGTGTTCAGCTAGAATTCCAATATTTTTTTTTGAGGAAAATTTTACATCAGATCACATGCCCATAAGTAAGTCTTTAATTAATTATAAAAAATACTAAATTTATTTAAATAAAATCAGTTGAACATAAATGCGTTATTCTCATTATTTTATTTTTGATTAATTCACTAAATGAATTAGTTGGATTCAAACATATGATAGATAAAACCAATTATGTGACTGTGTAAAATATTTTAAGTAAAAATTAATGTAAAGTTGTCATGTCTTCAACTCTACGGTGAAAGCGTTCATGAGCAACCAATTTATAATTCATAAAAAGAGTTATTATTTTTTGTTAATCACAAAATAAAGATATTATGTTAATAAAATCTTCTCACCTGTTATCTCTCATATATTATAATCCTATTTTTTTTATTTGAATAAAAATATAACATTCAAATTATCATGGTTTTCTCTCATTAATGTTTATGACCGTTCAAAAATGATTTCAAAAGTATCTTTCATCAAATGTTTAGAACTTTAGATTATTTCTCATAACATGCTTCTCTCTTCTTTGTTCAGAACTTACGATATCCTATGTAATAATTTCTAATACATTTATTAAGAAAAATATTATAATCAGTCTCACAAAATACTCATAAGATGAACTTCATCGTGTGTCCATTTTTCGTTTAAGAGTAGTTTCTTGGTTTAATTCTTATTCCGCTATAAACTATCACTCTCTTAAGGTTTTTTTTTTTTTTTTTTGAGTTGAATGATGTTTTCATCAGATACTAATAAGATTCATTAAATTTGAAATCGTCTTGAAAAATAGGATAATTTGAATGTGATTTTTAGTAATAGGTACCAAAGCTAATTAAAATTGATATGAAAAAGAATAAATATAATGAACAAATTTATTTCATCGAAGAATTAAGTCTTCCACCTATTAAATTTTTCTCTCATATTACTTATTTTATTATAACTTTGACCATTCAATCTTAAAATACTTATATCATAGGTTGATAAAAATTATTCAATTATTGTTTTAAGAGAATTAGTCAATATGACAGAAATATGTGCATTACATAAAAATAACTCAATAATTTGACATTGATTATTCACATAAAGCAACACGATATTCATTTACTTTCTTATAGATATATTACGGGCTTCATTTACTAAAAATTTTTTAAAAAATCATTTCTAAGTTCTTTAATAATAAAGTATGTTATTAAAATGAATGCAAATCTATTAATTTTTTTGAATGTCATAAATTGTTGATTTTAATTTTTTTGGAGTGTATTTTAGCATCACATTATCTATATTTGCATTATGTCTATCTAAAAATTGCAGTTAAAAAAAAATTATTTAATTTCTAAGTTTATCCGACACATTTTGCTTTTAAAAAAGTCAATTATTATCTTAGAAGAATATCACGTAATCAATTAAAGCATTTAAATCAGTGTGTTATTCAATTTTTGCACGATCAAATTATTTTTGAAAAAATAAAATTAATGTTTTGATTTCATTTCATAAAGACTTCATAATTTTGCAGTGCATTATTATGAGCATTGTTATAGTTATCAACATAAAGTTTAAATCTATTTAATTCTTTTTTTAAGTTAGAAATGTCTTTCAATTAAATACTTCATCGTCCTCTTTATCTTGACCCTTTATTTTAAAAAGATGACAATATAAATAATATGTTGTATCTTGAGATATACTATATTCTAGTTAATTAAAGTATATATTGAATCAACTAGGATTAAAGCGTCCTCCTTATCTTCAAAATTTACTTTTAAGAAAATCATGGTTGCATGACTGCCATGAGATTCTTTGCAAGTATAGTCGTTTAACATGATGTCGATTATTTTGATAATACTCCCAAAGTGTTATGCATATTCGGATCTAAATGAAGTTTTTGTAAGTTTTTTTTCTTCAATGATTCAATCTTCAAATATTGTTGTTTTGGACAAATGTGGAA